TGGATTAACAGCTCAACCGTTTATTGAAAGAAGCATTTGACAAGGCTTTAGTCTTTCCAAGAGAGTATTTGCTAAATCTGTTGAGCATCATCGCCGCGTCCGGGACGTTTCTGCTTCTAATACGCGATGAGATGCTGTAACAAATAAAAGGATTATTTTTTGTTGGACTACCATTATTTATTAGTATTGAAGCTTTGTAATAATCCTGTGTGTATGTTTGTCTTGTCTTGAACGCAGCCCTTCATCCAAAAGTCATTCTGGACCAGGCGGGGATCGAACCAACCGTCTTCACTTTCAGACATAGCGTGTTACCGCTACACCACCGGTCCTTGTGCCCTAGTTCAGCCTGGCAGGACATCTACTCTGTATCTGCCTTTCAAGACAACATACACCTTTCCTTTCTCATTTTCTGTGTGACGGCTTCTTGGCCGGCTTTTCGCGGGTTTTTCGCGACACGTATAAATGATGGATTAGCAATCAGGAGAATGCGGTACAAAAATGCCTGAGAATGTGCTGATCGGAACTGTGTTTTCTGAAGAGGTCGATACGTCCCGAACACATTTTGTCCAGTGATCTATAGCGTATTTTTTATCAGTTTTCCGTCACTCTAAAATAGTTTGCTTACAGGCCATGTGAATTTTTCGGACGAAATCACAGCAGCTTATCGATTGAGTGATGGCGCAGTAGTCATCGTAGATGCACATGAAGGGGTAACTGTTTTTTCGCTTTAGCTTTCCGAGTCATCAGTTAATCTCATTTTAGTGTTGAGAGCAAAAATTGCACCAAAATTAAGTATTATGAGTTATCATGTTTTGTGATTTTTAACTCTGGCATACATAGTCGTCTTTCTTCTTGGATAACAACCGGAGGAAATATATTATTTGACGCCTTCGCCACCGTGTGGTTGCAGTTGTCAAAAACCATATACATTGAGTTGTGTTAAAAAATATAACTAATTCTGTACTGTATTGCGAGTTATTTGATCAGTCTTCGCATATTTGATCAACAACAACTCCCACCGATGCCAGTCAACTACAAAAAATAATTTTTCCAGGTGATGCTACAAACGGAGCGTGCAATTCGACATGCTGTGCAGGAGCGTTTACCATTGACTGTTTGCATCAACAAAATCGATCGACTGATTTTGGAACTCAAATTACCACCCACTGATGCGTACTATAAATTGCGCTTTGTTCTTGACCAGATCAACAGCTTGCTTCAGTAGGTTTCTAATAATACTTGAAATCTACGACACAATTCGAGACAGTTAAAAGGGCGAAAACCCAGAAAGCTGAAATTTTAGGGGAATGTTTTCTGACAGTCATGGTGGCCAGTCTCAATTCTTTTAGCTAAAAGCATCTGCCGCAAAAAATAATGTCGTTAGCGACAAAAACCTGTGAGGGACTGTGCAAAAAACGCATTTAGCTGTCGGTGCGCTGGTCAGTTATTTTCCCTTTAACTGTCTGAATTCCAGGACATTTAGCGATGAAAGCGAGGCCTTGCAAGTATCGCCACTGCTCAACAATGTAGTGTTCGCGAGCTCACGATACAATATCTGCTTTTCGTTACGTAGCTTTGCGAATCTCTACGCCGAGCACTATGGTATGTGCACTTTTTTTTTAATTTTCAAACGCATGTACTTGAGATTTAAACAAGGGGAAAATTACGATCGATTGAGGAAAAAAAGGAGCACGGAGTCAAATGAGGAGCCAACTAGCAGCGTAAATCACCCTTTGTTTTGTAGTAATGTGAAGAATTTCGATAATTTTGTCGATGCGGTATTTTTGATAATTCAAAAAATCGGGTGAAACTTTTCCAGGTTCGTTTAATGGAATAGAATTTGCACGTCGATTATGGGGCGACCAGTACTTTGACAAGAAATCTCGCAAATTTGTACGAAAGCCACCACATCAGGGAGCGACACGTTCGTTCGTTGAATTTATTCTCGAACCTCTCTACAAAATATTTTCCCAGGTTAGTGGCATATCGTATAATTTTTTATCAATTCTTGATTTAATTCTTTGCTGTAGGGATATAGCCAATACCAAAATTGCCAAAATCGTCTCAGTGGTTGATGTGGGATTTTGATTTTGTGGTGTTATTTGGAATTTACGCAAAAACTCGGCTTTTTAGCCTCCTACGTTTTCTGTATTCAATGTGCCCACTCTTCGGAATAGTAATTGTAATTTTAATTTTAGATGATATTTGTTTATGTAAGAAGTAAGAGAATAAAAGGGAATGTGAATGTAAATAAAAGGGAATGTAAATTGCGGTCATTAGATGGCCAAATCGTAATCTTAAAACAATGGGCGGTTCGGACAAACAAAATTTGGAGTAGCAACAGTCCGAAAATTTTAACCTATGATGGAGTTAGTTTAATAAGTTGTGATGGAAAAGATAGTAGGGTATTTCATGTGGCACAAAGCTGTATGACTTGTTGAAAGATCGTATAAAAAGCAATATGTAGGAAAAGGTCTGCAAGCACTTTCCTCGGGTGTGTGTGTCTGTCTGTCTCTTGCCAGTGGCCCAGGCATTATGCTTACCGGTAGTGTTTTACTTTTTTTCTCGTGCTAAGGTAAGCAAATCCAAAATTGCGATTCTACAGGCATTAGGTGTGGGAGAATTCGATACGCATATTATATTATTAGGATTCGAGCCGACGTCGATTAGGACAATTAGCAGTATTGTAACCTCAACGTCAAGGAATCTTCCCCCCCCCCCCCCCCCCCCCCCCCCCCCCCCCCC